CGGGCGTCCCCTCGGGAGGGGATGCTGGGGCGTGGGCCTGGCTCCCTCCAGATTTCCTGTGCTGACTCTGCCTTGTATCCTCTTTGCGGTAATACATCACGGCCAAGCCAGACACCAGATGCTGAGTCCTGTGGGCTCTCAGTCCTGGGGGTCGTCTTGGGGACCCTGACACAGCCATCCTCAGCTGGCTCCTTTCAGCACATCGTCCTCCTGAAACAGGGCTGTGCCAGGCGCAGGAAGGCCTGGGGGAGGGCGGGGGGCCGCTGACCGTACCGACCTCGAACCAAAGGTGAGCGAGAAGCCAGGTGTCAAAGCGTCCCTGGTCCCCCTCGGTGTTGAACCAACACGCTCCTCTGGGATTTCTGCCTTCGGTGGAGGAGCCAGCACTGGAGATGGTGATGGTGACAGTGGTGAGGAGATGACAACGGCTGATGCTTCTCCAGAGCCTGCTGTGTGCCAGGCTCGCGCCAGTGCTCCCCACGTCAACTCAGTTAACCCGGCAGCCCTGGGGGTGGGCACTTTCCTCATCTCCGTCTTTAAGACCAGGAAGCTGAGCACAGACAGGTTAAGTTACCGCCCCGGGTCACACAGCGGGCTACTGCCAACACATCCTCTGGCTTCAGAATCTGGGTTCTCAACCTCTACCCTGGACGGTCTCCTGCTGGACAGAGATGTAAACCTGAACCAGTATAAAGAGGCCCAACTTTACCTACACTTTTAAAACTACAGTGCGTTTTACATTCTGCGCAGCCTCAGAACTGCCGGTGTGAATGTTTTACTGCTCGAGCTGGACTCAGGGCTGTGTGGTCAGCCCGTGCCCGGGTGACTCGGGGTTGCCTCCTTGGTACCGCACTTTGTCCAGGGTAAGCATTCAGATGCAGACAGGTGGGAGGGGGTGGGGGGGCCAGTGCAGACTAGGGCTGAGATGCTGGTCTCGGGACAGGGCGACCCTGGGCAGGGTCTCCAAGGTGAGTTCCCGACAGTCAGAGTGAACGCAGGCATCCCACGCGCAGGAGCAAAGCGAACAAAAGGTGGACCTGGTGATGACCGGGTGGGGGAGTCTCCAGGCCAGAGAGGCAAGCGGCCAGAATCCAGGATGTGCCTTGGCAAAGCCAGGGGAAGCCAAGCTGCGGCGACCCTTATGTGCGAAGCCGGAGTGGACAAGTGGTGGGCAGCCAGCGGGGAGGACAGTGACAGTGTGGTGAGAGTCATCTGGGGGCACAGTCGGGTGGGCCGGAGCCCTGGCGGGGCGAGGGCTTGAGGAGTTGCTGCGAGGGTCCCCACACGACGTGAGCCAGCGTGAAACCCAGCCGGAGCCCAGCCGGGAGGCGGCGCAGCGTCAGCTCTGCTGCTGAGACAAGGAAGGCCTTGGCCAGCAGGCCTCTCTGAGCTGACGGCCGCTGCCTGGCGCCCTCAGCCTCTCCCACTTTAACCTTGTAGGATTCTAAGAGATTTGGGGTGGAGCTGGTGGCCACCGGGGGTTGAAGGACCTTTTCTGAAGTGAGCATGGATGGAATCCAGAGCGTCAGGGGAATGAATGGCGGCCCTGAGCGAGTGCGGAAAACCCAGCGACTGTCGGTGGAACTGACGGGAGTACGGAGGTCAGGAAAGAAAACTGAAGACAGTCTTTACTTCCCACAGGAAACTACGTTCAAAGGGAAAAATCATCTTAACAGCTACAGGAAGTGAGACTTCAAATGACAATAAGCTACAAGAAGAAACGGCAGGAAAAAATTAAAAGCAAGCCCCAGAGGAAATGAGGCTGCTGTGTCCGGCCCGTGTCATCGTTTACCAGCCCAGGACTCCCAGCTCCGACACAGACTGCCACCGTCAAACTACTGCGAACACAACTGCGGCTGAAGCTGATAGTTCTCATGATTGGATCTCAGCACGTTCTGCGTTTTGAAATAGAATATTAGCTACTGACCCTCGGGCAGTTACTTGCGTTTCCATTTCTGAGCACAGTCATGCATCCAGCTAAACCACTCACCTGCTGTGCGGTTGTGCCTCCCATGAGGCCAACGTGGGTCCGGGGCTCGCGCCAAGGCCGTGACCGTGGGCAGCGAGAGGAGTTCTGGGGAGCACCCGCTCAGTCCCACTGTGTAACCTGTTTCCTGCAGGTGTCATTTGCTGCTCTGTGCACAGTCTCTCTCTGCAGGCAAGGAGACTGCAGCCTCTAATGTGTACGTTATACGGTCGTATATTCAATGTACCAGGCTGGTATCAAGTATGCAAGACCAGTGATTCTGCAATTGGCCCCTTCCAGTTAATTATCTCACCTTGTACACATGTCCTAGGTCACGACTGGCAAAGAATGATTTACAATTTAATGGGACAGAAAGAAGAGACGCAGGTGCACCCGTCTATCCACTGCCTCTCTTCTCATTAAAATATTCCCCTTGGCGGAAAGCATATGCCTCGTCTGTTTACTTGGATTTGCTTTTAAGGAGCCGATACGCCAGGAATTTTAACAGTAGAAGTAAATTCATTCGGTGCCATGTGTATTTCCATTCCACTTCCAGCAGGCATTAGGAAGCCTCCTCAGCACTTCATGTCTGAATATTTTATAGCCACATGTAAGTCTTCGGAAAAACACATTGCACTTGGGGCAGCAAAGACCATGCAGATTTTATTAAACACTTGTGCCGGTAAGAGCACAGCAGGAAACGCTGATGCGGCTTCAGAACTCAAACGTGTATCGTGCGGTCATTTCAGAGTGGCCCCACCAGCGAGAGGCCACAGACCGGACCCGGCCTCCCCTTCCTCTGACTGTCCAGTTGGAGCAAGTCACTTAACCGTGGCTGTGTCAAGGCCACAGTGAGACCAAGACCAAGTCACGGTGCAGAGGGAACCCCCCACCGCTCTTCTCTGAAGCCCACCTTTCAGGGCCAGGTTGGAGCCCCTCTCAGCCCTGCCACCTTCCGCCTCCCCGCTCCTCCTCCCTTGCAGCCCTCACTTCGGTCACCACGTATCCTCTCCCTGCAGGACGTGCTCTCTCGTCTCTCTGACGTGAAACTCCTCCGTGCCAGGCCCTCCTTCCCACAGTAAAACTCATCCCTCAAAGCTCAGCCACTCCTTCTCCTGAATTTGCAGTGACGCTCAGTCACCTTCGTCGATTGATTCACTTACATCACAAATGTCTCAGCGTCTTAAACCCAGCTCTGAGCACGTGGGTGTAGGTCACTGTACACATACTGGGTTGGGTCATCTGGACAAAAGCTGATGGGATACACACTAACTGGGGGGGCTCACAGGAGAGAGAAGAATGCTGACCATAAGGGGGGATGGAAGTAAAGTCGGGCAGGGGTTCAGAAGCGTTAAGATGCCCCCCTCCCCGGCTTGGGGGTGGGGGAAGGAAGATCTGCAGAGAAACAGGCCCTCTGGGGCCCTCCGGGCCACACAGGGACGAAACCCAGAAGGAGGCAGAGATTAGCCCAGCCGCTGTGCAGCAGGGCAGGCAAGTCTGGGGGGCACCCCGTATTTAAAGAGGGGAGAGCAGGGGCCTCCTGAGCTGGCCCCAGGAGAAGTGGGAGAATTTGGAGATGCAAACGGCAGGCGGAGGAAGGAGTGCATTTCGGGTGGAAGGATGGAACAGGTGAAGGCTTGAGAACAGGGCTGGGTGAGGAGCACACAGGTGGGGCACCAGGAAGGGACAACGAGAAGGCGGAGAGACCCCCACCCCCAGACCTCGTCTCCCCGGCCCCCAGGAACCCCTTGGCTGGGCAGTGGTGGGTTTCTCGCTCTCTGGTCTGCAGGCAACACAAGGGCAGGCACCCTTCCAGCACACTGCGCAGTGGCCCACAGGTCCCTCAGACCCATTTTAACAACCATTCCATCTGAAAAGCTTAATTCTTTAATAGTCTAGATAAGTGAAAACTATGAATGCTATAATACTTTAAAATCTTATCAATAAGAGAATCAGTTGAAAAGCACATTTCTCTAGTGGCAAGAAGAAACATGCATATTTATTATTTTATTATTCTTCCTACATAAAATGTTACAAAGAAAACAAAATCTAAAGCAGCACTGTCTTCTGGTTTCATCATCACACTACCTAGTTCAAACTTGTAATTTAATTATAAATAATGACTGTATTTTTTGCCTCTCATTACTCCTATTTGAAAAAACAACATAAAATTCTTATTATGCTTGTACTAAGTTAGACCAGATAGTTTACAAAGAATATAGTGACCTTAAAAATCCTCAGAACTAAATGATCCAGAAACAACCTAAATGTCCTTCGATGACTGGATAAAGAAGTTGTGGTATGTTTATACAATGGAATACTACTCAGCCATAAAAAAGAATAAAATAATGCCATTTGCAACAACATGGATGGACCTGGAGGTCGTCATTCTTAGTGAAGTTGAGTCAGAAAGAGAAAGAAAAATATTGTATTTTATCACTTATATGTGGAATCTAAAAAAAAAGGCAAACTTACGTACAAAACAGAAATAGACTCAGAGACAGAAAATAAACTTATGGTTACCAGTGGGGAGAGGGGATGGGAAGGGATATATTGGGAGTTTGAGATTTGCAGATACTAACTACTACATATAGAATATTTAACAACAAGTTTCTTCTGTACAGCACAGGGAACTATGTTCAACATCTTGTAGTAACCTATAGTGAAAAAGAACATGAAAATGAATATATGCATGTATACATATGACTGAAACATTATACTGTACACCAGAAATTGACACAACATTGCAAACTGACAATATATCAATTAAAAATAAATGACTAAATGATCCAGCAACTCTGCTTCAGAGATTAGACCTAAAAGAATGGGCAGCAGGGATTTGAAGAGATATTTCTACATCCGTTTTCACAGCAGCCTTATTCACAACAGTCCAAAAGTGGAAGAAACCCAAGTGACCATAAACCAAATGTGGTCTGTTCACACAAGGGAGGAGCATTCAGCCTTCCAAAGGAAGGTCATCCTGACACTTGCTACGACATGGATGAACCCTGACAGCACGACGCTCAGTGAGATAAGCCAGGATGATTCCACTTGTATGAGGTCCCCGGAGCTGTCAGACCCAGAGAGACAGGAGGCAGAGTGAGGGGCCAGGGGCTGAGAGGAGGGGGATGGGGAGTCAGTGTTTAACGGGGACAGAGTTTCAGTTTTGCAGGATGAAAACCATTCTGAGGTGGATAATGGAGATACTAAGAATACGAATGTACTTAACGCCACTGGGGTGTATGCTTAAAAAGGGTCAAAATGCTACATTTTAGGTTATGTATATTTTACCAAAATAAAATAAAAAGTTTCCCAACACGGGAGTCTTAACTGAACCACACAACTGCTGAGTTTATTACAGACTTACCCCACCCCTTGCTGTGGACCTAATCGACTTGGTTCCTTAAAAGTCTGTGGGTTGGTTCCCCGGGGAAGGCATCACAAGCTGGCCAAGGGTTGGACATCCCTGCCCTCCCCGTCATGGTACCCATCACCTGTGCCAAAACAAAACACTCCTCAGGGAACATGCTGTGGCCAGGACAGAAGGATGCGTCAGAGCTGGCAGGTCGCGAAGGCAGATCTGGCCACCTAATTTGTTCCAGCTCATCTTCTCTACAGAACATCTAAGAAGAACCCATCAGGGCATCAAGATACTGGGACAAGGGCCCCAGCTCTGAATTCAAGCGGGAAGCTGCCAAATGAAATGCATCGCGCTCTCAATGACACAGCTCTGAAATTTCCCACTAAACATCGGTCCCTGCTGGACACAAGGCGGAGATTTCAAGAGACTTGAAAAACAAACCAAGAAACCCCAGCATCTTTCCACGTTCCTCCACGTTCCTCCTAGGTCTTTAGCTGCCTGGGAAGATGGATTTATTAATGACTCAGCTCGACGTTAGCTAGAAACATGACACTGAAGCCACCAAGATGCCGAGAGCACCTGTGAGTTTAGAAATGGACCAGAGGGAAGGTGAGGGGGAGAGAGACGGATGTTGTGTGTATGTGTGTGTGTGTGTGTGTGTGTGTGTGTGTGTGTGGGCCGGCCGACGGAGGCCGCCCGGAGGAGCGGACACCCTAGTTTCGGTTTTCTGTAGTTAAGTAACGCTACGTCTTCTTTTCTTTTTAC